CCCCAAAACCCCAAAACCCCAAAACCCCAAAACCCCAAAACCCCTAAATGTAAGACTCCATTTGAAAATATTTAATATCAAGATGGTCTCAAACACTGATATTGCCATCATGTTCAGTATTGGCTGCGTCGGCTTTGGCGGGCTTGCCTATGTCCATTGGAAGGGCATGATTGATAATGTGATTAAATACAGAAAATATAGTAAGAGAATGGAACATCTGAGGGATCCTAACAACATGATCACCCCTGATAGCATTGAAAAAGAGTTTGAAGAGATGACAGATAAGGAGAAGAAGATCGGCAAGGAGCTCCTCGTGACTGGATATGCAATTAGTCTAAAAACTTGGATCTTGATGTCTCAGAAGAAAGCCAAAGTTTCCCCAGAACTTACCAAGTATCTTGAAGGACTTCCTAGAGAGTTAGCTGTAGTGGATAGAGTATATCCTAACACAAGATTTGAGTACAATGCTTGGGGCAATAAGTTTGCTATCCAGCATAAAGGAGATAATGCTATATTCATTGAACCTTATCAAAAGACACATCTACTTGGCTTTGAAGAATTCTACCATAAGAAAGGAATGTCACTTTCAGAATTCTTCTCGAGTTTAGGAAATGTAAGAACGGAGACAGCTGGAAGGGACCTTTCTTCATGAATCTTATTTGAAGGAGACTATATCACTGCATTCGGAATTGTAAAGTATCAAATGTCTGATGATTCCTTATCCATGACTAAGCCAATAGCAATTGTGAAAGGAGGACTTGAGGCTCTATATAACCTCTTTAAACAGAAAAGAAATGAAAAAGCTGGATATTCATACATGCTTCTCTGGGGTGGAGTTTTCTTCACGATAGCATCTATCGGATGATTCATTGGAGCAAGACATTTTTATAATAAAGTTAAAGAAAGAAGTGCTATACAGAAAGATCAAGTAAAAGAATTAGATGACCTTAACTGTGCAAACTGTAAACAAGAGAAAAGGAACATGCTTTTCAAGCCCTGTAATCATCTGGTTTACTGCAAGAAATGTTTTGAAAGCCCAGCATTTAACCCTGAACTCAAAGAGAAATGCCTAGCCTGTGAAAATATGATCGAATCTTCTGAAAAGGTTTATATCCCATAATGATTCAATCGATACAGTTAGGAATGGGGTTTTGGGGTTTTGGGGTTTTGGGGTTTTGGGGTTTTGGGGTTTTGGGG